TCTTTTTTATTACTTCTACCTTGGCTTGATCCACCTCTAGTCCTTTTCTGGAAATTTTATGTCCCAAGACAATTCATTCTTTCACCATGAAGTGTCATTTTTCCTAGTTAAGCACCACACTAGAGGATAGACATCTTTGGAGGACTTCTTCTAAGTTATCCAAGCATTGGTTATATGACGTTCCTAGCACCGAGAAGTCATCCATGAAAACTTCTACTCCTTCACCTATGAGATCAGAAAAAATAGAGAACATACACCCTTGAAACGTTGCTGGTGCATTACATAACCCGAAAGGCATCCTTCTGAAAGCAAACGTTCCGTATGGGCAAGTGAAGGTGGTTTTGTGTTGATCTTCTGGTGCTAGAGCAATCTGATTATATCCAGAATAACCATCAAGGAAACAGAAATATTCCTTACCTGCTAGATGATCCAACATTTGATCTGTAAAAGGGAATGGGAAGTGGTCCTTCCTGGTAGCATTATTGAGCTTTCTATAATCTTGGCAAATTCTCCACCCTGTAACTTTCCTTACGGGGATTAGCTCATTTTTCTCATTTAATTTCACAGTTATGCCTCCCTTTTTGGGAACGCATTGGACAGGACTTACCCAACTGCTGTCAGATATTAGATATATGATACCTACATCTAACCATTTGATGACTTCCTTTCTCACCACTTCCTTTATTATAGGATTTAATCTCCTTTGGTGTTCTACTGAAAAATTGTTAGGATCAGTCAATAATATCTTATGCATACAAAATGAAGGACTGATACCTTTGAGATCCGCTATGGTCCAACCGATAGCTCCTTGGTACTTCTTCAGCTTGTTGAGTAGCAGTTCTTCTTGTTCCTTGGTGAGAAATGAGGAGATGATCACAGGGAGGGTGTTATTGTTCCCCATGTATGCATACTTTAAGTGTTGTGGAAGAGGCTTCAGTTCTAGATCAGAAGGTTGTTTTGAAGATGGTCGCTTGAGTTGTTTTTCCTTTTCAGTTCTTAGCAGAGGTTCATGTTTTCTTTCCTGCAGATAACAACTATGTTCCTCCTTTTGTGGACCTTCTTCTTCCTAAGATTCTTCTTCTTCTGTTTTTCTGCTCTACTGGTTGTCTAACAAAGTGATTGCAGAACACTCTTCCAAATCTTCATCTTCATCTTGGAACTTTATTGCTTTTACGATATTGAATTTGATTTCATCATCATGAACTCTCATGGTCAGTTCCCCTTTTTGTAAATTGATGACCGCCCCGCCAGTTGCTAGGAACGGTCTACCCAGAATGATGGGAACATCAATATCAGCGTCGTAATCCAAGATGATGAAATCAGCGGGCAAGATGAATTTATCTACTTTAACTAGTAGATCTTTAATCTTTCCTTCTGGTTTGACAATTGATCTGTCTGCCATCTGCAATGTTACCGTGGTCGGTTTTCCTGGTCCAATGGACAATTGTTTAAAAACGGAGAGAGGCATAAGGTTGATGCTTGCCCCCAAATCTCACAAGGCTTTCCCTTGGTATGTGTTTCCTATGATGCAAGGAATGGTGAAGCTTCCTGGATGTTGAAGCTTAGGTGGGAGTTTGCCCAAGTACTGGCAACTTTCTTGCGTCATTTTCACAGTCTCATATTCTGTTATCCCTCTCTTTTTGGAGAGAACATCTTTCATGAATTTCACGTACCTGGTCATTTGCTCTAGTGCGTCCACCAGAGGTATGTTGATGTGGAGTTGCTTCAGAATGTCCAGGAATTTTCCAAACTGCTTGTCATCTTGTTGTTTTTTTGTTCTCTGGGGGAACAAAATTTTTGCTGGTATTTACTTGCTCTGAGTTGGACTGGTTGTTTGATTTCTATCCACTTGGGTTTCGTCGGCTTTAGCTTCTTTTCCAAGCTCTAGGTTCTGCTCATCTATAGCTGGTTCTTCTCAATGTGACAGCTTTGATTTGTTCTGAATAAGAACTGGGAAAAACAAGAACGTCTTCTGGTGAGGTTGTTGAGGGAACTTCTGTGTCCCTTGGTAGTTTTCCTAGTGTTCTTGTATTGAGGTTGACAACTATCTGTCCCAGGTGGGACTCAATGTTTCTGACCACTGCATTATTCCTAGTGACATATTCTTTAACATAGTTTTCTAGGGTGTTGATGTGTTGGTCATCTTTGTGGAACGAAACATAATTGTTTCTCCTTTGTTGTTCAAACGTTCCACTGATGCTGCCTTGTTAATATTGCTGCCGCTGAGTGTTGAATGGTCTTTGGTTCATGGGTCGCCTTCATTGGGGATTATGGTTCTGATCTTTTGTGATCGTTCCTCCAGTGTATGAATGGGTGTTGTGTCCTGCTTGCTGATTGTCTCTGGTGAAGTTCCTGTTTCCAAAGTTTTCTACATAACACACCAATGCAGTAGATGGACAGTCTGTTGAGTTATGAAGGTCACCACAGGCTAAGCATGGTTCAGTCTCAGCTGCTGTCAGTTGCAAGACTTCCATCCTTGGTGTTTCTTGATCAGCCTTCAGGTTCTTCACCTCATTCATGAGTGAGGCTAGCTGGGCTTCCATGGCAGTTTGTTTTTCTAGTTCTAGCATGCCAGGCTTTCTTACTGGGCTCACCCTGTCTATTGGCCATTGGAGACATCTTTCTGCAGTGCCTTCTATGATTTCATACCTGGATTCAAGCGTTCCTGTAAAAAAATATCCTCTTGCAGCAAAATCTAAATGTGATTGAGAAGTATGGTCAAGTCCTTTATAAAAAGATTATAATACTCCCCAACATTCTACCCCATGGTTTGGACATTTCCTGATGATGTCCTTGTATCTCTCCCAAGCTTTATAGAGATTCTCTCCATAAAACATCCTGAAGTTAGAGAGCTCTGCTCTCACATCAGCTTGTCGAGACATAGGGAGAAACCTCTCTATGAACTTGTTAGAGAGTTCCTCCCACGTGTGGATTGATCCAGGGGTGAGAGTTTTCATCCATCTTTTTGCTTTTAAGCCCAAGGAGTGAGGAAATAACCTCATTCTCATACTTTCCTCTGTCACACCCTCAACTTTAAAATTATCACAAATATCTTGAAATGTTGCGAGGTGTGTGTAGGGATCTTCTGCAGGGAGTCCATTCAAGACTCCAGCTTCCCTGATCATGTGAAACATGATGGGTTTCAGTTCAAAATTAGGTGCTACAGGAGGGAGGATTACTCTCTGTTCCTAAAAGGAGCAGCCAAAGTTCTAAATTTTTGTTCAGGAGGAATATCTTCATTATTATTGTGATCAGCCATATTTTCAAAAGTTTCTTCCCTAAGGTTTCTTCTTCTTCTATGAAAGGTACGTCCTGGTTCAGGATCAAAGAGAAACTCAGGTATTTCAATGGAGTGGTCAGAGTTTGCTTCAGACTCTTCACTCATAAACCATAAACACAAGTTATATGAACAACAGATTCAGTGACAAGAAAATAAAAATAAAATATACAGAGTATGTACTAAAAACAGTAGTAAGAACAAAATATAGTGTTTCTATCCCTGACAACGGCGCCAAAAACTTGTTGGGTGGTTTGCTGATGGTGGAAAAAATATATTTTATGATGAAGGACGTTCCTCTGTTCTAAATTAGCAATAGAAAATAGAGTTGTTCCCTTACTTCCAACCTAAGTGCGCAAGTGCACGCATCAAGTAATAATGGGTGTATTAATGCCTAGATTATCGTTCCCACGAGGATAGAACTCTAAATAATGTCTTAAACTATTTTATAAAGAATGAAAATGAAAAGAAAAGTTAGTGATTGAACTGTCTGGTCAAACATTCCCTACTGTCTTGACAATGTTCCTCAAGAATAGCAAGTTCAGTCTGATGAAAAACAACTCCTCGCGTCGTTATATATGTGATCCTTCTTGTTGAGAGAAGATACGACAATAGTCATTGGAGATTGATAGATACAAGATTGAACAAATGAAAAATAAAATAGTAATAACTATAACCAAGAGACAACAGGGTGGATGGATTAAAAACAGTTTTTAACATAAGGAACAAATTTACTACTCCACTCTTAAATAGTTATTTTCTCTGCTCAAGACTTAACACTTTTTGGCTTTGTCCCAGTTTCTTAACTGCCAACTCTGTTTCCTCAGCTCATGGACTAGATGGCCACAAGTTTCCATATTCCTATGGCTCCCTTGACTCCAACAGGTACTTGGTACTGAACCTTAAAATGGACGAAGTGGCCCCTTATTCCTAAGGTTACCAATAGTGTTTTTGCCATAACACTACCTTCCCCCAATGGCTAAGCTGTCTGAAATCCCTTCCTTAAGGAAGGTCCTTTCTCAGTATGTGTTCAATTTCTATTGATACACAATGAATATAACTTACTTAGCCAGAGAAATACAAAAAGCTTCAGTCAAGAGTTTTGAAAATAATTCTTTAAGAGTTTTGCAGCTTATCCGTTCCACAAATACTTCAGCCCATGGCTGTTATTTTCAACATAATTATTCTAAACTGAAATCCCATAGACCCAAGATTCAGCTCAGAGATAACGAGTGCAAAGGAAAGAAGAAGCACTTATATTGAAATGAAACAAGAAAGATTACAACAAACTATAAAGTGGAGAAGATGGTTGATGCTCGCGAGGAGTCTTAAGGGGATTATACAGAATTAGGGAGAAATGTTGTCACTCAACTATAGTTACAACTATACAAAATTAAACTACAAACTAACTAATACTAGGTGATCTTTTCTTAAGGAATTCAATCCCTTAGGAATTCGATGATGTCTTCGTGTTTGGGACGTCCTATTTATAGGCAGAAGAGTGAGTGGCAGTCTTGTAAAATTCCTTTGGAGTTGGTTTCTTGACTGTATGGCTGGGGCGGTGGCAATAGTGTTTGGAAGCTTGCAACTCTTTGGATGGGGCATTTTTTGTTGAGATTTGACGTTTTCTTGCAGTCCCTCATGTCTTGCTTTCTTCTTAGCCAATGAGAACTCTTTATTCCATGCTGTTCACGTTTCTTTGTGCGTAATTGATGCACCGCCTCTACTTTATGGAGACTTTGTTTCTACGTTTCCTGCAAAGTGAACAGAGGCATTAAATGAGTGGAGCAGGTGCAATAAATGCTCTCAATCTGTTCCCTTTTTAATATGTTTTCCAAAGGATTATGTCATCATCCGTTCCCCAATTGTGTTTTTGTCACAAATGTGTAAAACACGTGATTTTCATGCTGAAGTTGCTCATCAGATGGGGGAACGGATGGTATTTTTCCATCAAAATGGGCTTAGATGGGAACGAACTTACGTCCTATCAAGTGCTACAGTTTGGCATTCTTGCAACTTGTGCTTCCTTGACAAAAGATCCTTCATGAATTTAGCATAATTAGGCATACTAGCCAGAGTTTCAGCAAATGGAATATTGATATGCAACTTCTTGAAGATATCAAGAAATCTGTCATACTGTTGCTTTTTAAGTTCTGACTTGAACCTTCCAGGATAAGGTGCCATTTTCTGAAGATATTCATCACTCAGCTCAAATTTCTTCTTTTCAACAACAATTGGTTGCTCTTTTTCTTCACCTTTCTTAAGAAGCTTCACAACCTTAGAAGGAATTTCAACTCCTTTTTCTGACTCCTCAACCTCATTAAGCTTCTCACCATCCTCCACATCTATATTTGGCTTTTCTGGAGCTACCACCACTTTACCACTTCTAATTGTGATGGCCATACAATCTTCCTTTGGATTAGTAATTGTATTACCAGGAAAGGTACCTGGAGTTCTATCAACAATTTGTTTAGCTAGTTGGCCAATTTGATTCTCCAAATTTCTTATAGATGCATTTGTGTTCTTGGTATTAGCTCTAGTCTCCTCCATGAAAGCATTAGAATGTTGAGCCATTTGTCCTACTAACTTCTCCAAGTCAGAAGGTTCCTTGGGTTGGATTGGTGGAGACTGCAAATAATTGTTAGATTTGAAGTCAAGACTAGTTCCCTGAATCCTCCTTTGAAAATTACTACCTCTAACAGAAAAATTCTGATTTCTTTGAACATTTTGCATCGGAGATCTTTGATCATACCAAATTCCATTCACCTATATTTGTTGAGGAGGATCAGAAGACATTAGAGAAGGACATTCATTAGACTCATGATTGTCTTGGCAATATTCACACACAACAGTAGCAGCTTTAGCCTGAACACCAGAAATCTGCATCTTATCAAGCTTTGAAGTCAAATTTGCCATTTGCTGGGATAATAACTTATTTTCAGCCAGCATAACATCATTTCCTTCCAGCTGAAGAATACCTCTCTTATGCTTAGATGTCAAACCTTCATTTTCATTGGCAGTCATTCTCTCTATCAGCTCAAGAGTCTCATTTTCTCTCAAGGATTTAATAGTACCAATTGCTGCACCATTCAGCACCATCCGAATATCAGGTGTACAACCGTTGAAGAAGATTCTCACTTGATTGCCAGTAGTCAAGTTATAATGAGGACACCTCCTCATTAAATCCTTGAATATGTTCCAAGCTGCACACATAGTTTCACCCTCTAACTGAGTGAAATTTGTAATATCATTCACCATTTGATTATATCTCTCCATAGAGAAGAACTCAGCAAAGAACTTTTGGGACAAATCATCCCATGTAGGAATGCTACGTGCAGGCTGCCTTTCCAACCAACTAAGAGCCTTTCCCTTAACAGCAAAAGGGAACAACCGCAATCGGATTGCATCATTGGACACCTGAGGATGTTTTGTTGAGTCATAAACCATAAGAAATCTGTCTATGAATCTGTGAGGATCTTCATTCTCCCCTCTTCCAAACTGGGCTCTCTCCACCAATTGAATAGTGGAAGACTTAAGCTCCCAATTATTGTTACCAATTACCGGCTGGATAATGCTTGAGTTAGGCCTATTAAAAGCTAGATTAAGAATAGTATCAATGAGTGGATTTTCTTCATCATTATTTGCTGCCATGATTGGTGATTCAACTGGTATCTCTTGTGTCTCTTCAGATAGAGTATCAATTGCTTTGAACTGAAGCTTTTTCCGAGCAAGTTTTCTATTTCTCCTTTCAGTCTTTGTAATCTCAGAATAAAATAGAAATTCTTCAGTTTTACCTCGCATACAACTCAGGAAAGAGATTAGTAGCACTTTTCAAATAAAAAATAAAAATAAATTGAAAATAAAAATATTCACAAAATCCAATCTTAACGATCAAGATTATATGATATAAGAAACGCCAATCCCCGGCAACAGCGCCAAAAACTTGATACAATTGGCAAGTATACCAATCGAACAAGTAATACAGTGATAAGAAGAGTATCGTTTCCACAGAGGTTGTGATCGAATATCTAATAATTGTTCCCTTTAAGATGGAAACAAACTCAAATAGTTGTGATAAATGTTGTGGATTTGAGTAAAAATAAGAATTAAAGGTAAAGACGTATTTTTGGATTTTTTTATGAAAAATAAAACAGAGATTGATTTGAAAAAGAATATAAGAAAACATTGTAGCTAGAGAGCACTTACCATATGATTCCGCTTTTTACTCTGGATTGATTTAAAATACTCATCTAAATAAATATTCAGATAATTTATCATCTAAAAAATATAAATAGCTAACCCTCAATTCCTTGCAAGGTAAACCCTTTAACCCCAATTAGAACCTCAATTCCTTGCATTGTTCCTCATGAAATTAAGCAATGAGCACGATAATTTAAACATCTGTAATAATATATATGTATATTCTTAGCACGCATACAAATTGTTATCCTACTCCCTTTCAAGATCAAAAACCCCAATATTCCTATCTAGGGTTCTAACCCTCAAACTGTCATCAACTATTAGATTGATCAATTCTAACAAAGAAGATAGAAATTATGCACAGAGTAGAGATAAATATAAATATATAAAAGAGTAATTATAAATCAATCCGTTGTAACAAGGGTTCACATAGGGTTTGTGACCCTAACTACAATAAAGAGTACTAGCCAACCATTGTCATGGCTAACATACAAAAATTCAACATAAACTGTAAATAGAAGATGGAAGAAGAAAGGATGAACAAGATTTCCTCGCAAGAACTCTCTCTCTGAAGCACGATGGTTCTCTGATAATTGATTCTACTTTCTGTCTTTTCATAATCCTTTTTATATTACCCTTCACGCTTCTTCCAAAATTACCCTTAAAAATACCGGTCATGTTTTTCCCGCAAACTGGCGCGGGATCGTGCTAAAGTTTCGTAAAATGGCTAACAAACTGGCGCGGGATCGCGCCATTATGCCGCAGGATCGCGCCACTACTCTAGAAAATGGCCCAGGGGGACTGGTGCAGCTCAGCACCACCACTCGCACGGATTCACGCCAACATTCTTTTAAAATTTCGTATTCTCATTCTTTCTCCCTATATAAACATAACAAATAGGTGAGAAATATCATTGAAATGGAAAAGTCAACATAATAAGCAAATATGTATATAAACTGCTCTTTTATGACTTAATCCTTATCATTTTTAGCTTGGAAAACTATATATGCCAGAGGCACATCAAAACCTCACAATATTGTATTTGAGAGATATATACATTACTCTCTCAGTTTTGACCTAGGAGTGGTGAATGTCAAAGGTCTCCCCAAAAATACCTTTCCATTGATTGAAATTTCAAACTTAGGGATCAAACAATAATTTTCAACCACTGCAACAGGCACACATTAGGTTTCATAATACAATTCATTCCTTTCAACAATAGGTTACATGGGAAAACATTCTCAAAGAGCATTCAAGTTATTTTTATCATATTCACACTTCATTCGCTAATTATTTTTTTATAGTAAAATCTCACATCCAATTCATTTCCCTCAACAACAAGATTTTAGTTGTGAAACTTAAAAAAGTTCATATTAATTTTTGAATTTCTAAAAATAACTTAAGAAAAATCTGGATCCAATCTACAAGTCCGATTAGTTTAACCAAGAATCAGACCTTGAATCGGTCGAATCCAATAATTTTACTGTTTATGTAGTCGAATTGGTCGACTCGTCCAAGAATCTGTTCAACTAGCATCAAACTCGTACCCATTTTTGAAATTTTATGAAAAATATTGACAAAATTATACTCTTAAGAAACTAATGTTGAGAGCATATGAAGTTTATCACAAAGCCAATGTCATTTTTTAATATAATTGTTGTGAACACAGCAAGTATATCGGTCATTTCCAAATAATAAAGTGGTGATTGAGTATCATTTCCACGAGGACTAATTACAAGCAATAATTCACTATTTTTTTTATCTAAGTTAGATAATTCAAAAGTTGATTTGGCAAGAGTTACTTCTAATTGATGGAAAGCCAATTAAAGAAAGCAATTAAAAGATGAGTTGGAAATCAAGAATGGAAAATGTAGATAGGGTTTACTTCACCTCCGATCCCTCTTAAGTGAATTAATTTAACTGAATAAAGCTTTAACTCTATTGCTCCAAACAATTCATCATCTGAGTGATAATTGGTTAAATCCATAATGTCTTAGTTATTTAACCTTCTAATCTAATTAGAATCCTAATTTCGTAGAAACCCTTTTTAGATTAAGCCTTATACACGATGAATCTAACAAGTTTGCAAATCTTACAAGCCTATGTCTAGAACATGCAAGAATTGGTGTTTATCCCTGTCGAGATTAAGATCCCAATATCTCTATTTAGAACCCTTACCCTCCTTATTCCTATATGGTTGATCAGATCATACAAGAATTTGAACAAGCAATTCAGGATAAACACATAATAATTGGAGATAGATTTAATTGAAAAGAAAATTAAACCAAATTCACGTTGGATTCATAACCCTAACTACTAAGAAAATTAGCCAGGCATAGTTGGCTCAAACAAAAAAAAAAAAAAACTAGACGAAATCACGCTGAGAAAGGAATGTTAGTTGATCTCTACGACGACGCTTCGATCTTCCTTCAACCTCGTTCCTTGATCTCTAAGCTTTGAATTCTCTGGTCTCTTTTCTCCAATGGTCGAATAATATTCTCTAGAAAGTCATGAAGGTAATATTTATAAAGACGCCAACGCCTAGGAATTAGGATTGGGCTTTTATTTTTTTGGGTGTTCAAGTTCCAAATCTTCTAAATGATATTTCGTCTAATTTTGGTAGCAATCATGATATTTGTGCCGCCATATCTTCCCAAATATCTAAAACACAAAAAAACATAGAAATTAACTTAATTAATAAAAAAATAACTTAATAACAATTCATCTTTTTATTTTAAAATTAATAAATTATAGACATTAAATTCATGTTTTAGTCCTTCATTTAGGAGTTTTAAGGCTCCATTTTACATTCAAAATATTATGAATTTATGCTCTATCAATAATATTATTCTTATAATATTTATTACATACTTCTACATATATTTAGTTGACCTATTCCACTAATAATCGTCTATTAATCCAATACCCTAACCAAGTTATTCATTAGTTCGAATTTAATAACATAGATACACTACTCACTTAGAGTCCTCCTCCTAAGCCAACTAGAAATCAAGTTTCACACGCCAAACAATGAAATACATATTAATCCATATACCTTATAAGCCTGCAAGGCTGCAACGATAAATTATCAACAACACATTCAAACAAGAAAATCTAATACATGCAAGCATACCTGACCAATGAAATTTGTCTCTCACAATTTTCTTTATGCACCCTTCTCTCCTTTCTTTACACTTGGTTACTTTTTACATTGTATTTTGGATTTTGAAATTTGCATTGCCTGAATGCCATATTTCAGGGTTCTAGAATAAGAAATAATATAATGTGAGTAAAGCGTGCCTTTTTCGTTAGATTATGGACAAATGTCATATAAAAAAGCACATCGTACACTATTCAAAGTTTAATAAACAATTCCCATTTTTTAAAATTTCATATTAAATTTCACTGACTTATAGTTGAAATTCGAGCAAGAGTTTTTTTCTTTTAACTAATATAGTAGACCCTCAAAGTTTTGTAATTCTATACCAATGCTGCATGATAAAATCTTTTCTTAATCTAACAGCGAAAATTATTTGCTTATTCATCACGAAAATTCAAGACAAAATTATAGGAGCAAAGGGGTTAAATTTTACAATATGCAACTGGTACCAAGTTTGAACACCATTATTTGTGTTATTAAGCTAGGTTATACATTCTATTAAGCAGTGACAGAGTCGGGATAGAATTGCAACGGACGATCGCCTCCCTCGACTTTGCGTATTTTAAAAGATATGTAGAAGTAATTCATATCTTGGCCATAATGATAATATTTTCTCGCTCCATTGCTTAAAGCCCGTGGCAAACCCAAAAGGGGGTATGGATCGGTGATCGTGCCTCCCTAAGCTTTAATAATTTTTAGTATTATATATACAAAATAATATTTTCATAATAATAATTTTTAGTCTTAACAGTCAGCCCCTCACTAAATTTTTTCGTAATAATTAGATCTTTTTATTAGCATTAATAACATTTGTAACTTTGATGTTTATTTTTGCCTCTATCATAAAAACTCGTGGGTCCCTCGTATTGCTAGAAACTTAAACTCAATGGAAATTGCCAAATATGATTAAAAGATACCAAATAACTGGATGTCTCAAGCTAAGTGCAAATATAAACTATATCTATGCAACAATTCTGATAAAACCAGTGGCGGATCCAAAGGAGGAGCGAGGGTTGGCGGTTGACCCTCCTGAACTTTAATATTTATTATTATATATATAAAATGATGTTTTTTTAATAATAATAGACTATTAATTCTAATAGTTAGCTCCTCCTTCAAAAATGCTTGTAATAAGTATCCTCTCCTCTTAGTCGTAATAATACTTGTAACTTTAATCTTTAATTTTTATCCCCCATCATAAAAATTTATGGGTCCGCCACTACCCACCAATGATACAAGGATATTCTGATATGGGAGTCCATTTTTCAGAGTTCCAAAATAATTTTTTTAACCAACAAAGTCCAGCACAGTTGGTAGATAGCTGAGTTCCTTAAGCATGCTGACAAATATTCGATCCCTGGCTGTGTATATGAAAAAGGCTTTGTAGTGAGAGGTTTACCTGCTTAATGTGATCTTCTGCCTCGAAAGGATTAGTCTTTGG